AGAGAGAGAGAGAGATGTGTTTGAATGTGGATCGATATTGGCCATATGCAGCTGATTATGCTGCTGAAGAACTCAAAGATTTCCTGCAAGTTGTCAGTCTGTAAGTCTTCTTCTTCTTCTTCTTCTTCTTCTTCTTCTTCTTCTTCTCATCAGTCTTCTTCATTTTTTGTCAATCTTGTTCTTCTTCAGAATGAAAGGGTCGATAACATGCATGCAGCAGACATCAGAGCAGCAGGCAACAAACATGCAGAGCCCCAACCCAGTACATATCAGATGACATACATTCAGCACACAGCAGGCAACATACATGCAGACAACCCCCAACCCCAGCAACCCCCATCCAGACCAACCCCCCCCCCCCCCCCCCCCTCCCAAAACCAAAATTTTATTGCAGATGCGGGGTCCTCACACCGAGCACAGAACGACCCCGGTTTCAAATATATATATATATATGATGAGTCGGTGAAACTACGACGAAACAGTTTGTCACAGCCCCTCGTTTGTTGTCCTCTTCTCTCTCTCTACCTACGGTTTTACCGGGCAGTTCTGTTTGTGACGATATATATATATGTCACAGCCCCTCGTTTGTTGTCCTCTTCTCCCTCTCTGCCTACGGTTTACCAGGCAGTTCTATTTGACGATATATATATATATAGGGGATTCTGCAGACTGTTGAGGGTTCAGCCTCCTGATGAGTCTGTGAAACTCCGACGAAACAGTTTGCCACAGCCCCTCGTTTGTTGTCCTCTTCTCCCTCTCTGCCGGTTTAGCGGGCAGCTCTGTTTGACTATATATATATATATTATCACTGTGCCCGTTTTTTGCTTTTATTCTTTGTTCCGCAAAGTGCGCTCTTTTAGTTTGTAGTGATGTGACAATATATACATATATATATGCATTCGCGCTGCAGAGCCTTGAACATGTTTATTCGTGGGCCTTGCTCTGGCCAATGGACAACTGATTCAGGACCAGACAGCCTTTCCGTTTCTCAGATTCTCCAACATCTTCGCTTTGTTGTAGAAAACACTTTTCTGTACACTAGAGATGGTACTCTTCGAAAGCAAATCATTGGTATTCCAATGGGAACAAATGCTGGCCCAGAAATCTCCAATCTAATGCTCTATTGGGATGAAGCAAGCTTTATTGATGACATTCGTCAACATGATCCCCAAGCTGCTCAGCGATACGCCTTTACTTACCGCCTCATTGATGATGTTCTTTCATGGGGGCAATTACCTCCTCCTTCAGAGCACTATGGGCTTGAGTGGAAGGAAACTACGGCTACAGATGGCTCGTGTACCTTTTTAGGTATGCATCTACGGGTATGTTCTGATGGTTCGCTTTGCATGAGCTTGTTTGATAAAGCGGCTGCTTGGGATTTCCCTGTTATTCGCTATCCAAGTGCTACCTCCAACATCCCTTCCCATCA